AGGGGGGATCAGGATGGGGCATACATGTAAATCCATGGCTGATTCATGTCAGTGTATGACAGAAACCACTACAATATTGTAAAGTAATTAGCCTCCAACTAAAAAAAAAAAAAGAAAAGAAAAAAAATAAATAAAGTGTGTAGTTTAGTGATTCATATTCTACGAGTGTTAATTTTTTGGTGTTGATATATGCTGTGATTATATAAGCTGTTGCCTTTAAGGAATGCTGAATGAATGACATGTAGAAATTCTTCATACTGTTTTGTAACATTTAATTGCATGCATTATTTCAAAATAAGAAAATTGAAAGAAAAAGGAATACATCCATGAAAAATAGCCGAAGGGATATGGTAATCTGTCAAATAAAAGTTTCAAGAAAGGCATGAAGACTGATTTTTAAAATATGAATTTAAATATGATTTGAATTTTAAATATGATTTTAAAATAGGAAAGGATATCATGAAGAGGAGAAAGTCAATTTGGTCTGTACTGGGAACTAGTAGAATCGGGACCAAGTTTCGCAACCAATCAGAAAAAAATGACAGTTCACTAGGAGATATTATAGCAGGCAGAATGTTCCAAAGATGGAGTAAGCCATCTCAGGAGATGGTCCTGTATTACTAGAAGTGAAACAAGAGCTTGAAAACCACTCTTCTGGTATATTCTAGACAGGTTTTTTTACACCCTACATGCCAAAATGCGGTTCAGAGACTAGCATTATCCATAACAATATCACATGGGAGCTGTTAGGAATTCAGAAATGCAAGATCTCAGGCTCGGCCCATACCTACTGAAGAAGAATCTGTATTTTGCCATAGTCTCTAGCTGACTCACAGGCTAGTGTGAGTCTCACTGCTACAGGGCAAACCGAGCTCCCAGCCTTTAAAGGAACCTCCCACTATGGTTCTTATATCATGGTAAAATTATGAACAACTCCAACATGTACTCAATCATTTTGGTTTGATATTTAATAGTTTAACTTTTGAACAATTTATGAAATGGTACAGCTAATGATACAGTTTTTGAATAAAATACATTTGAATACTATTAATAAAACTATAAAATTAAAAGTCTGGTTAACTTAAAAGTAGCTTCAAAGTTTCTGAAGAGTATAGCCTCAAAAATCACCTTTCAAAGTGAGCTTTCATTTATTGCATTATTTTTGCTATTTTTTTAAACTGTGTATCATAGTTGTGCCTTTTTTCTCCCTACATGCATATTTTCATTTAGACAGATCCTAAATCAATCATGCATTACATACATAAATTGAATTAAAATTCTCATCAGTATGGTAGAAGTTTCACAGGGATTTAATATTGCTTTAAAATTATTTACACAGATGTGAAGTACATAAATAACACTGCTATGAAAAAAACATGTCACACAAGAAAGGAACAGAAATAGCATTACATTTCTTATTGATAATGCAAAAAAATCAGAAAATACCTTCTGTGTTTTTTAAGCCATAATTTTTCCATGTAAGATAGACTATCTTCCTTAAATTCAATAGTAAGTGGTTCTGTCCAAATTTTCAGATTAGTTTGTACTTCACATTCTTCCAATGAATCTAAAAACAAACAAACAAACATAATACACATAATTAATATAACCTAGGATACAAATTACCATATCTCTCAAGATACAGAATTCACCATTTTTGAGGCAAATGTGCCTTGATATTTGTCTATACAATCAATAGTTCTATGCTTAAATGCTGCAAAAGTGCTAAATATTGGTGATGTATTATATTTTCATAGTTTTCTTCAATCATTTCTTGAAATGAAAGATATTTTATGATTCAGAATGTTTTTAAAGCACCTAGTTATTTTACACAATAAAGATAAAAAAAAACATAGATTCATTATATATTCTATAAAGGCATACACACGCAAAGGCATGTATTACAGCTGCTGACAATAATATTTACACATTATGGGAAACAGAAAATAAATAACTCAGAATAGCACCTGGAGGAGACAACTGTCCTCATGAATTTATATCTACATGGCGATTTACTTCCAGATGCTTAAGATGCTTCTGAAGTACTACTAAATTAAAACCACCATTCAGAGATATTTAAAATTGATGGAGATTTCTGGGGGGGGGGGGAAAGAAAAGAGCGGTGTAAATCCAGATTTACTTATCTCTCCGCCCTCCTAAATATTAGATCTTTCTCCAAACTGACCATAATAGGAGGAAACTCTTGGAGAAAATAGGGAAGCAGTAAAGAGGGAAACAATTATTTTTTATAGACCAAAACCTAGAGAATAATCCCAAGCGCATACTGCAGGTTTTAATAAATAGCTTTTAGAAGTGGCCAAATGCCAACAATGGAAATAAACCAAAAGATTGTGTCATTCACTCCCGTTCTTCCCACAGTATAGAAAAGTGCTGAATACAGCAACTAGAAGGTGTACGTTGCCAACAAAGCTCTGTATAGTCAATGCTATGGTTTTTCCAGTAGTTATGTACAGATGTGAGAGTTGGAATATAAAGGCTGAGAAAGTGAAAGTGAAAGTCGCGTGAAAGTGAAAGTCACTCAGTCCTGTCTGATAAAGAAGGCTGAGCACCAAAGAATTGATGCTTTTGGACTGTGGTGTTGGAGAAGACTCGAGAGTCCCTTGGACTGCAAGATCAAACCAGTCAATCCTAAAGGAAGTCAGTCCTGAACATTTATTGGAAGGACTGATGCTGAAACTAAAGCTCCAATACTTAGGACACCTCACACGAAGAGACGACTGATTGGAAAAGACTCTGATGGGGGGAAACATTGAAGGCAGGAGGAGAAGAGGACTACAGAGGATAAGATGATTGAATGACATCACTGATTCAATGGATATGAATGTGAGCAAACTCCAGGAGATAGATAATGAAGGACAGGGAAACCTGGCATGCTTCAGTCCATGCGGTTGCAAAGAGTCGGACACGACTGAACAACAGCTGAGAACCACCACCAGGATGCATGAGCTAAAAGAGCAGGAGTCAAGGAGACAAGTCATAGGAGAAAGAAAAGCCCTCCACTGTGAGTCCTCCTTTTCATGAAGGAAAAAAAAAATCCCAACAGGAAAGCTGAAAGTAAAACAATGAGGACTTTTTTTTTTTTTTCCTGGCCAAGTCAAGCCACTGACTTGAGCGATAATCCCCAAGTTTAGGGGGGAGATGAGGAGGAAGGAGATGAAGCAGCTGGCCTGTGCCTCAGTCTCCTCCCATCACCAATGACACATTCCCAGGAAATAAGATGGCAGGTGGCCTGGGTTACCTTGATTGTGAATATGCTAGCTAGACCTTCTGGCAAATGGATTACTGATATTTTCTAGAAAGAGTCTTTAGCTATGTAATGCATTAAGCAGGATAATCTTTGTTTGAAGTTGCTTACAGAAAACAAATCTCAAACACATGGATTTATGAGGCATGCCTCCCTGAGCAATGCCATGCAAGCTCTGTAACTTAGGTTCTGGTTTGCTCCCTTGTTTAATGCTTTCCTGGCTACCTTTAGCGTAAGATGTTCCATTGTTTATACTAAAGGAATGACAGGCATTTTCCTTAATAGACAACGCTTTTAAAAGCCTTAAGATACAAATTTGCCCAAAGTGTTTAAGGAACAACCAGGAGGCCAGTTGTGTTTGTGTTTATTCGTTCAGTTGTGTCCGACTCTTTGTGATCCTTTGGACTGTAGCCTGCTAGACTTCTCTGTCCATAGAATTCTTTGGGCAAGAATACTTGAGTGGGTAGCCATTCCCTTCTGCAGGGGATCTTCCCGACCCAGGGATCGAACCCAGGTTTAAAGTGATGTTGAAGCACTCAGAAAGTAAAAATTATGAAAAGCTGTTACCAACCCTAGACTTGAGAGGACAATGTAGGAAAACTTTGTAAGAATCACTGAAAGCAACGGCTGTGGATGAAAGGTCATCTGAGTGTTGCTTTGTAACATAAGCGGAGAATACAGTCACTGCAAAAACTTCAGCACATGAAGAGGGAGAGTAAATACTTCAACCTCTTTCCTCCCCCAAATGGGAATCAAGCCAGACAATTGTCAATGTTTAAACAGGTAAATAGTGGTATAAGCAGAGAACTGTGAAGCAGTGACGTGAATGAAATACAGCTATGCACATCTTTATGGGTAAATCTCAGTAAATAATCTTGAAAATATTAAACCGGTTGTAAAAGAATAATATACTGGCTTTCCATTTACACAGTGTATGTGTGTGCTCAGTCGCTCAGCCGTGTCCGGCTCTTTGCCTCCCTTTGTACTGTAGCCCGCCAGGCTCCTCTGTCCACGGAATTTTTCAGGCAAGAATACTGGAGTGGGTTGCCATTTCCTCCTCGTCAGTATCTTCCAGACCCAGGAACTGAACCCGTGTCTCCTTCACCTCCTGCATTGCAGGCGGAGTCTCTCCCGCTGAGTCACCAAGGAAGCCCATACCATGTTTAAATACGTGCAAGTTTAACAATATATTGTTTAGAGAAGCAATAAACACACATGCAATAAACCGCAGGGAATTAAGGGAATGAGAAAACACAAAATCCAAGCTAGTGATAATCTCTTAGAGAGCGGGAAGAGGGCGAGAAGAGGTTCTTACTGCAATTTTTCTCCATAAAGTACATAAATTTTATAAATGTTCTTTTTATCTACTATCTTAGAAAAAGGAAAATATTTATAAACATATACATACAATATACACACACAAAAACAGTAATAGTTATAATACTTTGAGGCAAAATAATCACATATTTTATCAACAGAAGTCCTCATCTTGATGATTTCTCCACAAAAACCACACTGTAATTCCTCTCCAACCTACTGTGCTACAATAGTCTGCTTTGCTCTCTAAGATCCAGCCACACACATCTCCCTTCAGTTCCATTAACACAATAGGGAACTCTCCATCATGGAGCGCTTTGCACATATTAATCTGTCTCTATGTTTCAACTCATTTTCTAGACCTCAACTTGAACCTTGGCTTCTTAGAAATCCATTTTTTGATCATCAGTATAAGTCAAGGTCCTAACAGGAAAGAGAAATCTCAGAGGGGTAATTTGAAGAAGGTCAAATGAAGGAACTAACTTGTAATCAGGGAGCAGAGCTGAGGGAACAAGTGATGTTGAAGCAGAGACTAAAAATAGTGGGAGCTGTTACCAACCTTAGGCTTGAGAGGACAGTGTTGTAAGTAGCTATGGAAAGCAATAATTGTGAACAAATGTTAATCTGAGTGTTGCTAATAAAATAGGCGGACAATGCAGTGACTGCAAAATCTGAGCACATCAGAAAATAGACGGAGAGGATACCTCTCCCTTTTCTTCTCACCCTTCAATGTTTTGCTAGTGTCTCCAACTAGCCAAACCCAACTAGAAGCCAGAGAACAAGGGAGCTATGTGATGCAGTCTCTAGAGTCAGCCTCTAGAGGCACAGAATAGGGTAAAAATAAGAGAAAATGAATCCAGAGAGACAGTCTACTTAGTTTGCATGTAAACCTCCATTTGTATGTCTATTTCTCTGCAAAAAGCAAGCAGCAGCAGTAGTGTGCTCAGTCGTGTCCAGCTCTTTGAGACCCCATGGACTGTAGCCCACCAGCCTCCTCTGTCCATGGGACTTTTCAGTCAAGAATACTGGAGTGGGTTGCCACCTCTTACTCCAGAGATAGAACCCGTGTCTCTTGTGTCTCCAACATCAGTACGTGGATTCTTTATCACTAGCAAAAAAAAAAGCAAACAAAACAAAAAACCTGACTTGTGTCTGAAGCACATAGAAAATACAAAGTTCTATAGTATGAAGCACATAAGAAAATACAAAGTTTTCACTGAGTATCACAGTGAAAGCCACTCATTCATGTCTGACTCTTTGTGATCCCATGGACCATACAGTCCAGGGACTTCTCCATGCCAGAATACTAAAGTGGGTAGCTGTTCCCTTGTCTAGGGGATCTTTCCAACGCAGGGATCAAACCCAGGTCTACCACATTGCAGGTGGATTCTTTACCAACTGAACCAACAGATTTCAGTGTAGTGATAATTCCAACTAAATTTAAATGTTAGATACCAGCAGTAGGTGTCATATTAGTATGGAGGAAAAACAGGACAAAAAAAATTATTACTCAACATAAAACATAGCTGCCATCATTCTTCATGTTGTAGCTGGTTTTGGCTCAGTTGTAAAGAATCCACCTGCAATGCAGGAGACTCAGGTTCAATCCCTGTGTTGGGAAGATCCCATGAAGAAGGAAATGGCACTCACTCCCGTGTTCTTGTCTGTGGAATCCCATGGACAGAGGAGCCTGGCGGGCTACAGTCCACGGGGACACAAAAGAGTCAGACATGACTTAGCAACTAAACAATAACGACTGAAGCGTACCTTGATTTGATTACCACAGCTTCCTTCTTTCACCACCTATTGGATGTTCACCTTACTGTCTGCTGATACCTTTTCCTGGTGGAGTGTCTCAAATCTTCATTCCCAAAGATTCAAGACCATAGCCTTCTTTTCACTGGACTACCACATTTTTTTCCAATGAACATTATTACTGAACACAGGAAAACTATTAAGTTTGCTGCTGATTTGTTTATAGATAA